TATACATGTATGGATATGTATTTGTATATATTCAAACATATATACCAGCATACATGCATCATAAAAATACATACACCACCCTTTAGTTGTAGTAGCTAAACGTGGTGCTATCGAACTCTACGCTTTCAGGCGAGGATGGTAGGGAGCTCTGCCTAGCTCTCAATGGCATAGTCTATGACGTGTCCTCAGGATCGCAACACTATGGAAAAGGTGGTGGATACAGGCTTTTCGCTGGAAGAGATGCTTCTCGATGCTTAGCGAAGGTGATCAACATTTTTTATCAGCGTTTGTCGAGAAATCAGCTTCAAAAGCTCATAGAAAAGTTTACTTGCACTCGTACATCACTCAACGGAAATTATTTCCATAGATCTTGGTGATGAAGTTTAGCATGACTACTCGTGATCTCAGTCTAACACTCCATCTATGCAGGGTTCGTTGGATGAAGCGGACATACCCACTTTAGTAACTGATAACCTGGTAGACTTGACAGAGGATGAAGTTGGTACACTAAAAGGCTGGGTGCAGATGTTCTCCAAGTATCCCCGGGTGGGGGTCTTGGAGGGATTTATATCCAGTGCAGCAGAAGTTGAACCAACCAAGGTGCGTTTGCAAATCACACACTTGTACGTTTACGATGATACGGATAGATTCACTCGAGGCCAACGTATTCATATATGTATGAGGATGTTGTACGTGGGGAGGTTTGAAAAAACCTACAGGTTTTCTGACGCAGGCCAGATACACCTGGAATTGATGTTAATATTCACCACAATCACGTTTCGACATCTTGAATCTATCCAGGTATTTGCCGCTGCTAGATCGGGAAAAACTGAAGACCTTAGACAGGCGCTGGTATGTAAATCACTATACTATTTAATTCTTCTGTCGACATCACGTTTTATCGGAACAGGATCGCATTTTGGTTTTGAGGTTCTGTATTGATGTGTTCCTGCCTGCTGTAAATTGTGCTGGGTAGGTGTATCGTAATCGGCTTCGATTGTGCAATTTGTGAAATAATTTGAATCTGCAGCGTATAGTCTAGTCGATGGCATGTGCGTTGACGTTGGAAAATCGCTTCTAACAGTCTTCTCGACGCATCTACAATATCAGAAAGGAGACCCAGACTGGCTGAAGGATGAAGATAAGCTGTACGACGACACCGGAGCTACTCCTCTACATATAGCTGCTTCCGAGGGTTACCTGGAGTGTGTCAAGGTTCTTCTGGAGAGTGGGGTAGATAAAGGTAATCGATATTCAGATTAACATATTGCTATCCACGATAGTGCCTTCGCCTGGTCTTCATTCTTTAGACCGCCAGTATCGCTTTTACAGAGTTGTTCCCAATATCTAGTTGAAGCGTTTTCTATGTCTCACGCTGTTGGCCAAATGATTTACGATAGCTAATCAAAAGGTCCTTCGTATGTTCTGTTCAGACATATTAAATCTGGCGTCGAAGGAAACACCTCTCATAGGAGCCGCGCGGGGAGACCATGCAGAGGTTCTCAAATACCTTCTGAGTTTAGGAGCTGATCCAGAGGCAAAGGATGCTATGGGTTACACTTCACTGATACACGGTGTGTTGGGTACTCTAGCAATCGCGCAGTTATTGCACATTTGCAGCATTATACTTGTATCTATGGTATCACCAAGGGGTCGACATTCAATTCTGATTTCATTTGAAGTATTGGGTTGCCCTGCGTGATGTTCGCCAATCGTCTATACTTCTTCACCCGCTCACACGTGCGCGTGATACAGCCAGCATGCATGTCAGTCTCAAGGTGATGGAGGAACTCATCAAGGGCGGGGCCGACGCGACTTATGGCGATGCAGAAGGTATGCAGACTGCACTTACTCTCGATTGATTGCACCGAAGCTACCGTATACTTGTACACTCAGCGAAGATGGGTACTTTTGACTATATGTCCGACTTGCGGTCTAATTTTTGCCTCGAGCGTGACAACTGTATACGCATGTCCTAAAATCACATGCATTCAACGTTGTAGCATGCACGACTTCGACATGTAGACTATATATATGTTGCAATTTCATGGCTATAGTGTATTTCCGGATTATTTATATTTTTATCCACATATCATTATTTCGGGTCTGTGGTCATCATTAACGCAGGCTGGACGTGCTTACATTGGGCCGCCGCGAAGGACACGCCGAAGTCGATTGACAAACTTTGCCAATTGAATGCGCTTGATGTTGATGCACAGGTATGTGCAAAGAGCTCCATATAGGTGTATGTCTAAGTGTATATCTGTAAGTAGATATCTCTACTTAAGCAGCAGGCTCTGTGTTTATTCCCTGGGTTATCTTTAGTCTGAACGTGTACCAATACAATCGACTTATGATGAGGATGGGCTACGATAGGACAGTTGACAAGTCGCAATATGGGCAACGAATTAGAGGTCGAAGGACTTTGACAGATCCGCGAGTGTAGTATTAGTTCTGTCAGAGGAACATTCGACCACATACTGAGACGTCGTCTGGTATAGATACCTTATGCACTCACTCGCTCACAAAGTTAATTTGGAACCCCTATACCCTAAAAGTTCAGATCCTACGTTCTCTTTAAAACGTTATTCCGCGATTTTATCTGAAACTTCAAACCCACAGGATAAAGCCGGAAACACATCACTGCACTGGGCAGGGAAATACGGAAATGCAAACGCGTACAAAGCCTTGGTGAGTGACTTTTTTGTCTACGTGCGAAAAACATGAAATCTGATAGCTAGATCGAAACGCCTAGTGACTGTGCATCCGGTGACGCTGAGCGGAAGCTCCTAGGAGCTGCTCGATGGGTATAACTGTACTATCATTTGCATCTGTATGAAAGGATGACTCGCGTTGGTGTCATAGCTCACTTCAGCTATCTTTGTTTCGCTCAGATATATATACAAGAGTGACGTGGATACGAGTTTGTATGTATCTACATACCTACAAACACTTGTGTACTTCGAGACTGATATTCTATATCCCTGTTTCATTTCAATCAGGTAAAAAACAAGGCGTCAGAGACCATACTGAATTCGGAGGGCGAAGCACCTCAGTTAGCAGCGGAGAAGGCGCACCAAACTGACTGTGTAATATCATAGAGACTTGAACATATTTTTATAATAAAGAAAGGCTGGTATCAGACAGGCGAATGTTCCATGTATGGTAGATAGAGAATTATTGGAGATGTGCCGCTTTTGAGTACCCATTACGTATAAAATGGGGTTTCTGGCGATTTGAAGGTGCCCAGACACAAGTAGAGCTTTCCATTTGTACGCAAGGAAAAAATATCACGAAAGACGAAGACTGTACTATAAATGTGAAGAACTATCTCATTTATTGGATGTCTAGTACTTTATGTTCAGATTCGTGTATGTACGCATTTCGGAATATGTCTCTAATCGTTTTGAAAGTACGTACACGCGGTAAGAGTTGCACGGGTTCATGACTAACCGAGAGTAGAAAATCGTGCGCATACAACTGTGTTCAGGCATATAGTGACTATCGATCTATATCTAAATAGCGCGGCATTAGATAGTGGTATATAAATACGTGATATAAATACGTGACAGGTATATAAATCGGGATATTCAGTTATTTGCCCAGGCAACAAGTATCTAGAAACTCGCACACTATGCACATAGTGAATTATGTGCGTATAGTTAAATCGCATACTTAAATTACTTTTGCACACAGATCAGCGTCACTGGATACAAGCCCGCATATATTTTCATAACCATTCGCATTTAGTCGG